ATCAACTTGTGGAAAATGGGCATCCTATGACCCCTTTAAGAACATTAAAACACAACAGTGCCCTCTTGTGGTTTTTAATTCACAGTACAGTAAAAGACAAAGTCACAGTGGTTTGTTGTGAAAGACCTTGTGGAGAAGTACACAATGTGTAGGTTTTTTTTTTATCGTGCACCGTCTACTTGCAGTCAAACACACTGCTGCAGTGTCACAATGCGGTGAAGAACAGTCAGTCTGTACCCATTAACCCCGCTATGAGAAAGGAAGGAATGGAGTTTCTCTTTGTGTTTGAATTATCCAGCACGTCGTTGGTGTTCTGTTGCAGCTTCACTGGATCCGAGTGTTCCTGCACTGTCCCGAATACAGATACATATCACTGTTCTCTGAAGGTGTAGGAGCTTGATTGTGGGTGTATCATTGGTCTGGTGTGGTTATAAATACAGAGTTGTGTTGTAGAACTGCACATCCTTCTGCTCAAATAAAACTGAATGAGAAAAAAATCAATGGTGCAAAAATATACAAAAAGTTAGTTATATGTAAAAGAAATATTGGGAAATATGAGATTAAGCTGTATGTAATGCATTATTTTTTCTTAAGTGACATTGTACAACTGTAACACCCAGCGGATAAAGTTTCAGAGGAAGGAAATGTCTCTTGCCTCTGTTGAGCTCCTCATGCGGTGTGAATGTGAGAGGTGCAGAAATACATGTGAAAAGTCCAATTTCTCACAGAGCAAATGGGTTAAACTTGTGGAAATGGACAGAATAATTACTCAGACATCACCATGCTCGGTCATGTCCCGTCGAAATTAAATGACTTTAAACTAACGCAACAAAGCTGAACCTGAAAATCCTTTAAGTCTAACCTCTGTGCCTGTGATCATCATGTTTTTGATATTTGATGATTTATGCTCCAAAATAAAGTTGGCTTATAATAATTGTTTGCATTTTATGCACTTGGCAGACACTTTCATCCAAAACGATTTACATTCACTCAAGGTACTTACAGTATTACTGAAATAAATTATTGGATTAAGTCAGGTTTATTTATATAGCACTTTATACAATACAGGTTGTTTTAAAGCAGCTTCACAGTAATACAAAGGAAAACAATGGTTTTAATGTTGCAAAATTAATCCATTATGAAACCATTTCATGAAAATTAGGCTAGTTTTCATTGTTCAGTTCAGTGACAATGTCAATGTTGCAAAGTTCATTATTATTGTAATTACTGCTTCAAAAACAGTGTGAAATAGTTTGAAAAAGGTGCAAAAGTTAAATAGAATTTTATGGGATTGTTTTAACCAAAATGAATCAATATATCTCCGTATAAGCAAACAGAAAAAATAAAATGGATGCTTGCTGAATAGTTTTCTTTTTTGTTAGTTTTAGTAGGCTAATTTAGCTGTTTTTGTCAATTTTCTTTTTTTATGTTTATATACAGTAGTTTTTAATTTTCAATTTTAGTTTTATTATTTTAGTGCATCAAGTTAAGTTAAGCTAAGTTAAACTAAACTAAAAAAATATATATATACATTTCTCAAAATATTTTTTCCACAGATGAATAAGTTATAAAGGTAAATGACACAATGTTTATATTTGGCTGAACTATTACTGTAAACTATGCCTTGTAAACATCAAATGAAACTGGAATATGAATGTATAAAAACCCCAAAACCATTAGCTGTCTCTCTATCTGTCTCTGCAGTGGGTGATCAGTGGATAAATTACATCTCATTTGGGGGTCTGAGGACCCACGCTGAGCTGGAGGGAAGGCTGGTGACTGAACTGATATATGTGCACAGCAAGATGCTTATTGCCGACGACAACACTGTCATCATTGGTGAGTAAAAATAGATATTTGCAGACAGGAAAAAAGCATAATGACTGTATCGTCTGTACACTTGTGCTAGTAGAAATGATGTGGCAATCATGAAACTGCTGCTGTCATAATTTGTGGTAATGTGAAGTAAACTGTTAATATCAGAGAATGACAGAGATGAAATGCCTCCTCCTGCTGTTAAGATGTAGTATTGTAGTCCAAATGTTTAATGCATTTTCAGTACTTTCATTATAATAATCAAAAATGTATATTGCATCCATCAGGTTCTGCCAATATCAATGACCGGAGCATGCTGGGTAAGAGAGACAGTGAGGTGGCTGTCATTTATGAGGATATCCACACTGTGACGTCAGTGATGGACGGTCAGGAGTATCAGGCAGGACGTTTTGGATTGAGTCTGCGGCTGGAGTGTTTCAGGTTCAGGACTCATTCAAGTCTTGCATTTAGTATTTTTAGAAACATACAAATAAGGTTCAAAGATGTTTTCTACTTCCTTTGAAATCAATAGGATGATTCTAGGTGCCAACACTGACCCCAGCATTGATGTGACGGACCCTATAAGTGACCAGTTTTACAAAGAGGTGTGGATGACCACCGCTGCCCGCAATGCAACCATCTACCAGAAGGTCAGCTTAACCTTTTCACACAGTCTCTCTGTCTGTCTGTCTGTCTATCGTTCATAATTAAATGAATAAGTTGCTTTTCATATAACCTAGCTGAAACTTCTCCATCTCCTCCAGGTGTTCCGCTGCTTGCCATCCAGTGATGTTCGGTCAATTTTGGAGTTGGATGGCTTCCTCTCTAAGCCTGGTTTGGAGAAAGAGGACCCTGCACGTACTCAAGAGGAGCTGAAGAAGATTCGAGGCTTCCTGGTCCAGTTTCCTCTCCAGTTCCTCAGCGAGCAGAACCTTCTGCCACCCATCGGATCAAAAGAAGCCATGGTGCCCATGGACGTGTGGACATGAGAGAACCTGCCCACATCACCTGAATAAAATAATAAACTGCAAATCTAGCAGATGTACCAGGAATGACCTAAGCTTTCCTATTGTTTAACGAACACTTCTGAGACAGAAAATGAGGTCTGGAGGAGCTTCAGCCATAAGTTGTTTACCCACTCGGAGTTAAGGACTCCAGACTGGTTTGCTTCATCACTGTTTGAAGCTTGATTGTTTATATATTCTAATACTATGCAACTAATATTATTTTTTATGAACTATTCCCATAAATTCTACAAAATGGTGATATGGATGCTTTTGTGAAGTCTTCAGTGTCCTCGGACACTTGATTGGATGCTGTATATTGGTTTCTTGTTCATTATTATTGAATGGTTTTGTGCCCTGTAACATGCACTGAATATGTATTATTCTCTGCATTGAAGTGCCAACTATGTCTGTGTAACATTTATCTTTTCTCTATATGAAGTGTAAACATTCCTTGTGTACTATATCTCAATGTAATTTATTGTTCTGTGATAGTGGACATGGTCCATTAATTGTTGCTTTCCTATGGTACAAATTGCCATGTTTTGGTGGCCTTATTTGTTTACTGTGTTCTTAATGCTGGGTATGAACTAAAATTCACCAAAGCATTTTTCTATTATGACGAAACGAAGTTGATTTTATAAGAATAACAGACTAGTATTCAGATTTATCCCCATTACTTGTCTAAAATGTACAGTAAACTGTAAAAACATGCTATGCCTGGAGCTCTAATGAAGTTTACTAACCATTCTTGAAATAATGAAACCACTGATCATCATAATTCATTTAGAAGTACTGAATCAACTACAACGGCTATGGTTTAAATAACCTGTCAGGATTTCCATGTCACTGTAAAGATTGCAGCATGTGTGTCCCGCATTCTGAATATGCAGCAAGTATCTTCTAACAGTTGTTAGCCAAGCACTCAAATGTCTGCACTGTTGACTGTGATTCTGCACTTTTATAGTAGTTCAGAAACTGATTTCTGTTCTCTTTTTGTTTTCTTTTCCTCGTGTCTTTTTACTCCCCAAGAATTGCATTTTTGCACAAAATATGTATCGTTGGGATGTTTATGAAACATGTGAATTGATGTTATAGAAAATTATTAAACCGTGATTTTCACACTACTGAGTGTTCTGTAGGTGGATCTATCTGTCTATATATCTGTTTACAGTATCTTTCTGTCTATCCATTTATCTATCTGTCTATCTATCTTTATATGGCTCTATCATCCATTCGTTCAATATAATGTATTTCTGTCTATCCGTTTGTCTGTCTATCTATCTACTGTATCTGTCTGTCTGTCTTTGTATGTATCTTTCTACAGTATCTGTCGGTCTGTCCATTTGTTTAACTGTTTTTTCTGTCTATCCATTTGTCTATCATTTATATATGGCTGTCTATATATTTGTCTGTCTATCTGTTTGTCTATATATTTATCTATCCATCTACAGTATCTGTCTGTCTATATATTTATCTGCAGTATCTGTCTATTTATCTATGTGCAGTATCTATCTGTCTGTCTATTATCAGAGTGTTGGGATTTACTGCACAAATGGTTGATTGGAACATCATGTCTGTTCTGCGGCTGACTGTGTGTGTGTGTGTCTCTGGGGTGTCTGATAATGAATGACTGAATGTGTGAACACCGTCTTACTGTCTCAGTGGTCTGTGTGGGGATGTGTACGTGTGTTTCTTTGGGATATGTACAGCTGTCATGTTCCCTGCAGACTGTGGTCTGTGAGCTACAGCTGAGCAACAGTCCCTGATACAATCTCCTGACTTTTGACCTACCTCTCACATAGTGCACATATCACGTAATTCGGTGTCACATGGGAGAAACTCACCAGTGCAATTATAAAGCTATAAAACCTGATGAGTGAGTTTGGAATCTTTAATCTCACATACAAATATTAGATTTAGCTGTCGAATTGATAATAAATTAGCTGCAGTTTCAGCGAATAAATGTTCTGTTATTAGAATGATGGTATCATAACTGGCCTCAAGTTTGCCTTGAGCAGATCTCTGATATTGTAGAGAACAAGCCCATACACAACGTGTCATTTCTGTCTGACTGACAAGAAATGAGAAAGAGAGATAAAAGGCCAGGATTGCTCCTGTGCTCAAGCTCATGCACGTCTGAACATTGTTTCTAAAATCCTCAGATGTGCCTGTGAGCCTTTTTGTTAAAACAAAAAAAGTTAGATAGTTTTTTATCAGGTTTAAAATATGACCAGGTGTTTAAATATATTGATTTGTAAACCCCAGGAAGAGAGTTTGGTGCAATATTTTCACACAAGGATGATTCAAATCCTCACTGGGGTCATTTAAAGATTCTTTAAAAAAGACATTAATACTCAGCTTCCTTTTCCTTGATACACTCTTCTACTTTTTTTTTGTTTTTCACATCCACATGACGCTGTTTCAAGAACCTCACATTTATTGTAATAGGCCTGGATTAACCTACTTCATTCTTCACGGGAATCCACAAATGAAAATAATATCCCCAGGTTGCATGGGTTTCACTCCTAATAAATATCTCTGAACATACACGTGCCAGACGCCGTCATTCTACCAAAGTCTTTAATGATATGTGTGTGAATGATTTTGTTCTGCTAACACTTTTAGCTAATTCACTGTCCATTAGACACTGGGAAAGAAAGATAATCGCCCTTTTCCTCAAATCTTCAGAGAAAATCTGAACAACAGTGACGATGATGAATGGAAGCAAATCTGGTTTGAAGGCATGTAATGTGATCAGGCTAAGCCACACAAATACAAAGGATCTTATCATAAAGGCAGGCTATTGCACAAACCACTGCAATGGGGTTGACTGCATTGTCAGCACAAAACAGTTTCTCACAGGCAGTGCTAATGATAATAGTGCAGTTGCAACAGATAGCGCTTTAATGTGCAAGAACCCAATCAGGTTTTCAAGTACACAAAAACGGCCTGTTTTTACAGGCAAAAGTCACTGAGGAACAAAGCCGTCTTGTAGCAAATAGCAAAAGGGAATGAGAGAAATGTAGCACACACATAGCAGAGTCTGTGTTGACAAGATGAAAGCTATTGCACAAGGGAGGCTTCACACTGGCTGAATGCTTGACAGGAATTCACTCTGGGGAAACATGGATTTTTACAAACAAGATGCTTTAAAAAGGAACAGAGTATGATTTCAAGACTCCTGTAAGGCACATTTGTGTGTATTTTTACATAATCTCTAAGGAAACGGTCAGTTCCGGAGTTCCCCCATCCAGCACAAAATTCCTTCAGTAAAATTAATATCCCCATTAAGTTTCAATTCTGACTGAATGATTTCACACATCCACCACTAGATAGAGCACTATTCACTGCAGTATGTCATTCATTTGTAGTTAGATAGATAAATAAACGGATAGACAGACAGATAGATAAATGTATAGACAGACAGATAGATACAAATTTATTGAAAGACAAAGAGATGGACAAATTGATATACAGGATAACAGATAGATACTGTAGATAAACATATAGCTATACAAACGGATAGATGACATGCAGACAGACACAAAGACTATGTATAGGACCTATATATTATATGGGACCTATATGTTATTATATAGGATCTATTGATAGATAGACAAATGGATAGATAGAAAAACACACATGTAAATGGATCATTGCCACACTGTCTCAGCAAGGAATTGAACCCCATTCCAACCCAGAGAGCACACGTACATCTGCAAGATGAGATGTACTGGAAGCATCTGCTGTGTACAAACATCTGATAGACGTCTTTAAGATGCCAGTTTTACATACAGTCTACATCATAAACATCTTAAAGACATTTTCTAAACGTCTATTTGACATTTAATACGAAACGTCCTACAGATGCAAACACTCATCTGCAGAAAAAAAAAGAAAAGAAGACAAATACGTCTTGCAGACGTCAAATAGACGTCTCCGTGATGTACGTGTGTTATCAGGGAAACCAATTGTGAAATGTTGCCGAGCTCATAACACTGAATGGGGCTGGCGTTGTGACAGACTGAGTGTGTCAGAGAGGATGTTTTCTACCAAGGCGAATGCGAGAGGAAGGTGGTGTGGGGGAAGGTGATGTGTTTTATAAATCGTGCTGCTTATATAAACGGAAGGTGAAAGGAAATGTGCTGTGGCTCACTGTCTCACTCACTGTCTGAAATGTGGCTTCCTGTTTCTGACTGCTCTTACACATTATAAGCTGCTCAATACATGCACATAATCACATTCACAACAACAGCTATACATTATCTGCAACAAATGTAAGTACTGTTTTTCCGTTCACAACTCGCTGTCACAATTCAAGGGAGTTGCTATGTGGTTTCTATGGCGTTCTGAGAGGTTTTAACATTCTTATATTGGTTGCTAGGGTGTTCTTAAGACAGAGTCTTAACATGGTGACTGTGTTTATGCAACTGGCCCCTGGGTTGGTGCTTATTCTACTGAAACCTAAAAAAACCCTATGCTAAAACCAGCTGGTTGGCTCCTAGTCATAGCTGTTTTGCAGGCAGGTTTTAAAGGTGTTTTGACCAATTCTGTAGCTGG